CAAACAGATCTGTGGTAGGAAAAAGCTGTCGGTTTTTCGTGGTGATGCTCTTTACAGCAGTCTTTTTATTCGCAACGAATTCCCCATTGAACACTGTGTTGATTTTCACACAAGCGTGTCTATCCATATTCTCGCGTACCTTCTCAATCACCATGTCTCTAGCGTCCTCGAGAAATCGTCTAGGCTCAATGTAGCGGGAATTGATTACCACACCTGTGAGTACCCGCCTCCGAAAAGCTGTCTCAATCTCCAACCATGTAAATCCATTGTAACCTGCACCAGTATGAACTAAACGACTTCGCAGTTCGGTCCTCGCTCCCTCTAGACGCGCGATCAAAGCAATAAGAGAATTGACCGTTCCAGCTGGGTTCCCACACCTTTGACACTCTTCCCTCAACGATTCAATACACTCCTCACATCGACGCTCCCACGAGTGATATTCGTCCTCGTTGAAAACAGTCGCAGCGTTCTCGATCAACTCGCTTGCCTCCAGATTCATTTTCGTTTTTTTTTCATCCAAAAAGAACGTCCCTCGCTTAGTTTCGGAATTCTGAATTTCACTCGCTGTCGAATAAGCTTTTTTTTCTTATCAAAATAATATCTATTCGGTAGTATTCCATTCATATACATCTGAGCTCGATGACTGAACGCTACCGCTGTTTTTATCCACAACTCTTCCCGCAGACACTTGGCGCCGATTTCCCTCCTCAAATGATAACATGCCAAATTCCATCGCGCGTCTTCCTTCACCACAATGTTATATACAGCGTATTCTGTTTTCGCACAATTGCAGTCATACATGCATGGGGATGATGATGATAACGTCTCGTCGCAATACAATTCAACCTCATTCTCGTTGTCACTGTCTAAAGTATTCCTGCTCATACCAGACACGGTTATTTACACTTAACAATTTTTTCTACACCGTCGCTACGAACCTGTGCGTTGAACATGATGTTTCGCCGAACTCGATCGTTGCGCGACGCTACGAATACTGTGGCTATGATACGCTCGATCGCTCGCGCTTTTATTCCTCCTTCGTCACCTTGAGAATTCGAGTTGTTATCACTACCATCGCAAATCTGACACACTTCCTGCCTGCGTGATCACGCAGGAATGCTAGACCCTATCTCCCAACCACACCTCACTTCTTATGCAAGGTCGCGCGTGTTACAAACCTCGCACTTCCACCGGGAAAAAACATCTGACGCACTTCTTGCCTGTCGGCTCGCTCCACCAGATCTTGCTCTCGTTGTTCCATGTTGTCGCGCTTTTCTATTTTGTGCAAATTGGGCACATATTACACGGAAATACGATATACAATGGCGCATCACATGTTGTGCAGTTGTTAAACCTCATTGCGTTTATATTATCGTAACAGTCGGTAATGTGTTTACGAGTACTATATGTAAGATCGATGTCTCTGCACTCACACATACACCATTGACATAATTTATATGTGCTACCGTCGGAATAATAACTATATATGGCACACTTTTTCATCGATAAATTCAGCGTTAGAATTTCGTGAGGAGACAGTTTTTTCCTAGTAGTCTTTTTACCTCCTTTTACCTCCTCCGAGTCACTGATGTAGTCACTATCATCGGCTAATGGTTGATATTCTTCTTCTTCTTCTTCATCGGTCTCATCTACTAACCTCTCGAAATTATCACTATCATCGGATAATGGTTGATATTCTTCTTCTTCTTCTTCTTCATCGGTCTCATCTAATAACCTCTCGAAATTATTGTCGATTTCCATTTCTCCTTCGAAATTATTATTTGCTTTACTGGCAGATCTCCTACTGTGGTACAGCGGACTTGCGAACTGATTTATATATCATACGAAAGTCTGTCTAGACGATGGAGAGGGGGATGTTTGTCAAGTGTACGCGATAGCCGCATGCGTTAAGTGTCAGACTGTCAACCGCGCGAGCAGAGTTCGATTCCCGGCGAGCCGTCTTTTTTTCTCGATATTATTTTATTATGTAGAAGGTGGAGGGGGGATTAGTCATGCGGCTCACACGTACATGACCTAACTTCAGTTGCTCTGGGCGGGGCGCGGAGCGCGGGGTGTATGAAGGTCTGTGTGGGGGCTCCCCTCCAGGCAGACCGTGTACCCCGCGCTCCGCACCCCGCCCAGAGCACCGTGGGTTACATACATCATAGGTCTTCTACTAGTATACACTTTTTGATACCGTAAGCAGAACTGGCGAAGAAAAATTACTACACTCCGCACAGTGCGTCAAAGTGTGCAATTTTTTAGAGAAAAAACATGGTCATGATTTTGAGAAAGTTCCGGGAAATGGGAAGAGTGAATGCAAATTCCAATAAGAGCTTCTTAAAGCAGAGGCTTTGCCCTATGAAATGAAAAAAAAACTTTTCAATTTGACTAGTTTTCGCGAAGTTACGCTTATTTGAAATTCGCCAAATTTTGATGTAAATTTCTTGTTGCGTTAATTTTTGTGACCAGTGTATATACATATATATATATACAGGGTGTCCCATTTTAACTTGGACAGTAAAATATCTCGAAAACTGAGCCCAGCAGACAAAAATGTTTCAGACAAAAGTTGTATGTTTCGAGGGGGACATAAGATGGTACCATCCCAGTGAGAAATCATTAGTTGAAAAGACGTTTAATCGGCGACTTTTCAACCAAGGAGATAGTTGATATACAGGGTGTGTCCTAATACCCGTATCACCCGTAACTGCCAGATAGACCAGGGCAAACTGAATAGAAAAGTCCTATACCATTTTGCAAAATTCGCAATAGTTATCGAGAAATAAATTTTAATGTCTGAGCGAATGAAAGCGTAGACGGCGGCAGGCCGGACTCGGCAGGCAACGGTGGGGCATCATCTAATAGCGAGAGGTGGAGCGACGCGCCGAAAAAAAGTTGTCACGCAGCGAGCGGCGAGCTTCAGTAAACACTCCCCGCTCGCCTCTCACCGCTCGCCCTTCGCCCCGCGTCGTTCGCCGCCCGGTGCTCGGCTCTCGCCCCTTGCCCCTCACCCCTCGTCCTTTACATGTGATCGAGCGTTATCATAAAGCAATATGCATATTGCAGGTTGCTTAAAGCGTAATTGCTGGTGCATTTCCTCCATCTGAGAACAGTATTTTCCGGCATTAATGATTTTACCAGTACCGGGATTCTGTAACTTGCTATCGATGTTTTTCGGCATCGAAATTAACTAGCGACAGCAAAGCCGTTAAAAGCACAGCTTTCATAGGTTGGTTAACGAGACT